AACTGTGAAGCCACTGAGACAGAATGTGAAGCGCAGTTGTGGTGATATTCGGGCTATATACCATAAACATTTATTGATTGATTGATGATGTTCCTCTAAAAAAAAAAAATAGGGAATCTTACTGACTCCAGGATCTATGGACTTTTGCAGATGTGTATCCTCATGTGGCTTAGCAGATGTGTGTTTTAAGTGAAAAAGTCCTCATTTTAGAATAATGGTGGATATCAGGCGTCCGTACTCTTTTAAATGGATTTAGCGCCTGTTAGTGGCTTTGTCTGTCTTTTGTCTATTTTTATTTGATCAAAGTGGTTTAGAATAAGGAGAATCAGCCTCCCTTGTTCTGCATTTATTACTTGCGCATGTATCTTCACTACATCACTTTTTAGCATCAGTTTTATTCGGCCCACTTGATGAATGTCACTAGAGACTAGGGTTGGAGATTGAGAGAATATTTAAGTCCAGTCTGTCCTCCTTTTGATATTTTGTCATGACACACAGGCAGGAAACCATCTCAGAGATTATGAAGCGCTGGTTCATTGTGTGCGTTTGGTTTGACTTTTGTGAGCAGGATGCTGGGCTCCCATCAGGGGCTGCACACGGCGCGCGCTGAGCCGAGAACATTCGACAGGTGGTGTCCACTCCACGGCGCCGCGAGCCGCTCCACGCAGGGCCGGTGCAGATGGTGCGGCCAGCGAGCCGTGGGGGCCAACAGTGTTGCTTTGGAGACACGGATAAAAAGAGAGAACATATTCGCTTCGTCACATTGTAGCACTTCACTTCATCTACGACTGAAAATGAAACGATGAAAAGGTTTTATGTCAACAAATTGTTCACATAAACTGTTTTAGGGAAAAGTTGAAGCAATTTTAATGTAAAGGTGCACCTATTAATAGCAAAAATCCTCTTCCTTCAATCGCTGGGTGTGCTTCTGACAGGTCAAGCATGTGTCGCCTCTGTGAAGAAAGAGGGCTGAAAGTTTGTCAGGAAGCAAAGATCGTCTCTCTTTTTGTCTGATCCATTTATATAAAAGCCTGTCTGAAATGAGGCTGATCAGATTTTGCCTCTTAGTGATGGTCATAATCGATTTTTTGGCTGTGTCAGGGGACGATTAGCCAATCAGCGCAACCAAGCGGTAAGCCCCCCGCCACCACCACGCACCTTATCACCTGAATCCGCTCCTAGGCACGCATTGTCTTCTTTTCAACCCAACATATCTCAGCAGAGGGCCGTGTGGAAGGGGCTCCTTATTTTCATCTAAAGTAACAGAGCAGAGATCAGCACTTTGAAGCAGGGCTGAAACAGAGGGATTATGGGAATGGCTGTTTGATGCCGTTTGGTGTCTAGGAGACAAAGCACTTCAGCTCGTTCGTGTATAGTTCTTGAGACCTATAATATACTTCGATCGAAATCCAGTATAATAGTGGACGCTTTAAGTTCAACCTAAAAATGTTTGAAATCTAGACAGTTATTGTGAAAATCTCGCTGAAGCATGAAGTAACATTTAATTATTAGTCAACGTTTTCAGTTTTTGTATCTATTTTACAACACAGAATAGGAAAATATATTGGTTGTGTGAAGTAGGACAAAAAAGTCCACTGAGGGCATGCAGCAGCTGCTGACAAACAAAGGGCTTGTAATTCATGTGAACTGAAGACACAAATCGTGCGTAGCCTTAGGCAGTATGTAGCATTAGCATTTGCACAAAGAAACCAAGAATGGATGGAATGACAAATCAACGAGACGGTCCAACATGCGGTGTCCAGGAAAAAATAAATCTGGCATAGTGAATTGAACCTTATCACAAAATCATAAAAGATTGAGACAGAGAAGTCCTGAAAGTCAGCACAAGAGTGAAATAGTGTGAAACTGATAAGATAACTACATTGTTATGGCGATACACAGTAAGTGGGAATAAACGCTCCATGTCACCAGAAAACACAGCTTCTACATGGGGTTGATTAGAGTAGACAGTTGAACACTGAATGGAGGATAACAGGTAACGGTTGAGCGGTTTATGCCAACATAGAGTGGGTGTGGATTATGATTGGGGAATACTCCTCGTTCACTTTCTCATTAGCAAGTAAGACAATTATGCTGAAGCTCAGCAAGCCATAGAGAGTATCTTGGATGGGAGTATATATAAACACTAGATGGCTCAAGGGGGAGTCGCCAGCGTAGCTCACCGGTGACCATCTTGCCACAGTCAACAACTACAGCTGTTGTAAGGTGAGTGATCTGCACACAAATACTCTTAACTCGCTGAAATCTTGTTTGATTTACAAACGGTTTGGTTTATTATAAACGTTATTAGCATGGCTATGATACAGGAGACAACAAGACATGTTGAAAAAAAAATGTTCATGATTATAATTATAAGTATGCAGTATCATAACTACATCTTTGATGTTTATAACAAACCAAACCGTTTGAAAATTGGTTGAAGATTGAGCAATCTATGGTTATTTCAATAGTGCACCATAGACATAATGTTATGAATGAGCGAGCTGCCTGTGGCAAGATGGCCGCCATGTGGCAACGTCAGTCTCCATTGGCCAGCAGCGCGGGTGAGTAATCTAGTGTTTATATATCTATGGCTACAACCAGCAGCAGATTTGCTTAGCTTAGCATAAACACTGTAAACAGAGGGAAACAGCTAGCCTGGCTCTGTGCCAATTCCCAAATCGTAGAAGTGTTAAAAAGGACATGTACTGGAAATCTCTTTGTTCGGCCAAGAAATAGCTATTGCACGTTTTACATTTGTGTTTATGAGTTTACCAAATGGGATTAAAAAGATTGAAAGTTTGCTTTAGATGTTTCATTAAGCCATAAACTGGCTATATATTTCCCCTTGTTTCCAACCTTTATGCTAAGCTAAGGAAAAAGCTAACTGACTGAAATTCATCGTAAGAACGCGAAGAAGAATATTTCCAAAAATGTCAAAAAGAATCCCTTATTATTATTGGCTGTGGATGACAGAACAACACCTCAACAAGGAGGAGACGTTTATAAAATGCTGGTATGGATTTCATCCGCTTTGAAATTAAAGTTACTGTTGGACAACTGAACTCAGTGTTTAACCCTGACTGGAGCAAAGACTCAGCAGTACCGGTGTCCACTACAAAAGAACCTGAAAACAGTCAATGACTCCAAAACGAATTAAAGTAAGACTTCAAGATTTTAGGGAATACACTAAAATGTTTTCCCTTGCCTTCACTATTTTATGCTAGGCTAAGCTCAGCTAATTCACTGCTGGCATTAGACCTCCTTTTCTGTAATTTAACATGATGAGGTATGTTTGTAGAGGGGGATAATAGGTGGAGGCAGATCAAGAAAATTGCTACCATTCTTCTCATCTAACTCTCTGCAAGAAAGGGAATAAGCAACATTTCCCAAAATGTTGAACAATCGTTTCAATCTAGTTTCGTTGCAAATCATTCCATAAACTCAGTCTATGCTTACATGATAATATTTGTCCTTGTGCAGATTGACAGGCGACTGTAATAAGAGTAAAGTAATTATTAGAGTCTTCGTCAGCTGTCTTGTCCATTAGCAAAACATTGAATGACAGCGACCCCATAACCTAAAGCAGTAAGTATAAGCAGTAAATTCTCTCTCATAAATAATACCGCAAAGACATACAATGTCCCAGCTCTTCATAGAGCAGAGATACAGTTCAGTAAAGTCTTTGTAAAATGCATCTTGTAGTTAAATCCTTGTGACTGTGAATCTGTCTCTTTCATCAAAGTCTCGCTATGATAAAAAAAAGTTTAATATTATGTTCTTCACTTAAAGAAATGACACAGACGTGTGTTTAAAAAAAAAACACCAGTGCATTAGTTGACATAGTAAAGCCAGTAGATGACGTTGAAGAGGGAAAAGCTGAAGGGGAATATTATCCGTGACATTCTGTCGATAGCGTTCACATCCGTCAGGTCTGGGATTTTGATTTTGAGCTGAGAGGTTCTTCTCTGCAGACGTGTTCTCCTCGGATACACGTTCCTCTCCAGGCTGGAGCGCGGTTCGCTCGGCTTCCTGTTCTGGACCCCAGAGTTGTCGAACACCATGGAGGAAGAGTTGTGGGTCTCGCACACCCTGGTGGTGATCTCATTCCCTCCCACCTCGTTGTGGATCTCCAAGGTTGTCAGTAAAATGTTCCCCTGGGAGTCGACCTGAGCACAACAGACAGGAGCGCAGTTAAAAAATGAGGCTGCGGTGACTAATGACACATGTGCAGCGAGCGTCGAGCCGCCGCCATCTCGCAGGCTGACGGATTACGGCCTCCAGAACCAGGTTTCCTGTCCCAAAGTTAAATCACTTATAAGCTCAAGGTTGGCTGTAATACTAATGTCATGACAGCTACTGCTTCCCACACAAAAACACACTGGAAAACATCTATAAATCATTCAGACATGGTGGCAATAATAGAAGCACAATATGTACACAGTCATCGAACAGCGTGGTTACGAGACATGAGAGGAAGTGACAAGGTGAATATTTATTTACTTACTCTTACTAGTCCTTTTCTACGCTGAGGCCCATATCAGACCTCATGTTAATGTTGGACTGGGAGATAGTTTGAATAAAAAGATATGATAGTTTATCGTCTGTCAATGGAATCTTATAGTCGTGATTCGTTTTCATTGATCAATTGATAAAAACAATTATTTGATAGTGAATTCACCAAAGTATAGTTTACAGGCAAAAGTCAAACTCAGTAAATACTTTCATTCTTATTTGCTTGTGTGAAAAAGTGTACTTTATTTAGCTAAGATTGTATTCCTATGGCGCTGTGGATCAGATTAGATTGAAATAATTGCAATTTTTAATTACAATTCTAACCCCTTTTATGATACAGCTAGCTGCGACTTTACTTTAAAGTGGACCTATCATGCTATATCTGAATAATATAGTGTAGGACCATACCTATATAAGGCATATTTATACTTTTTATTTGACAAAATACCAAACAGATCATGCATTTTAGCCATTCCTTATTTCGCTCAATTTAACACTGTCTTTGCATGGGCTGATTCTGTGAGAACAGCACCATCTACAGGCCTGGCATATGTACTACAGCGTCTCCAGCGCTTTGGAACGGCAATGTCCGTGGCTGTCTCCTCCTGATTGGTGGAGTTGGCCCAATAGCCGTAGCGCCACTTCTGTGACGTCATAGAAGTGTTCAAATCTGGATCAGTCTGTATCAGATCCGTTGCAGCCCCTTTTTAAGAGATTTGGGTATGGAGGAAAATAGAGAGGGTTGTGTTTTCTGACACTTGGTGAGTTCCCTGGAACACCGGGGACACATATTCATGTATAAAAGATGTACAAAAGTGCATTTTGCATGATAGGTCACCTTTAAATAATAATAATAATAATAAAACTGCAAACATATTTCATGTTTTAATCATGGCTGGACAAACAAAGGATTTGTCCCTTGACTTTAGACTTTTGTTATTATATTTTCCAAAGTAAGCATTTGGGTACTCCAAAAAGGGGCAGGACTTCCCTCGTTGTTTAATATGTCTCTGTTCAGTAGTTTGGTTGCATTTTTGTTACACTTAAAGACAATAAAACACTACAAATGTATTAAAGAGGATGATATTCTTATGATATGGTGATTCTGACAGAAATGGCAGGTTAAGATGTGATGAAATGTGTTGTTTTTGTTAGATTAGGAGGTCACACATTTGACAGATGTGACACCACAGGCAGTGACAGACACTCACCCTGCGTGAGGGGCGCCGCCCGTGAACCTGATTGGACTGTTTTACAGACGAAGACTTGCAATTGCCTCCTTCCAGAAGGGACTATCCAGGAGAAACACAAAGAGATACCCCTCTGTCTGAGCTTTGGTCAGGTGTATGCAGGTGAGAATCATTACGTTGAGTACACGGGGAGGAGAAGGAAGTTGTTCCACTGTATCGACCAGAAATGTCCAGTGTTGACAATTCAATTCATAGATAGATATTTTGGGTACAACACACATTTTTCTTGGATATGAAAGTGATTCTGAGAAACCTAAAGCTGTGAATTGTGCAACAAACCATCTAGCTAGGTGCAAAATTAGGTATTAATGTTTATATTAGGAGATCAATTCCTTCACTTAATTAACCAACAAATTATCATATGGTGACTTCTTACGTTTTAGAAGTTATTCCTAATTTATTCTGCGCTCACTCACATACAGTATGCCAAATTTCATTTACTGCTCGTAACATGCATACAGTCTTTTCTAAATAAGCACATACACAATGATCACTTAGGTTGTCCGAATTTTCGAGTTAAGTCCATGACACAGAGTATCAAAAGTCAATGGTTTCTTATTTATGATAGTAAAAAGGTTGCTAACCACTCTTAAAAACTGTTTTTCTGTTCTTATCTTTGGGAAGTTAAGAGATTGTAATCTGACTTTCTGGTGTTTTAAAAATTATTCTTACCCTGGTTCTGTCTAAATTCTCCCGATCATTGTTGGCCTTCTGCGCCCTCTCCGCCAGTCTCTTCTGCATCTGAGGGCCTCTTCCAAAGAAGATGTAGTTCACGAAGGCATATTCCAGCAGAGCGAGGAAGACGAACACGAAGCAGCCCATCAGGTACATGTCTATGGCTTTCACGTACGGGATCTTGGGCAGAGTCTCTCTCAGATGGGTGTTGATGGTAGTCATGGTCAGGACAGTGGTGATCCCTGGAGGAAAATGAGACAAAGAATTGACTAAGAATCACCCAGTTGTAAATTAAAAGACCAAAATCAACCCGGAAATACAAAAAAATTAGGTTGTGAAAAAATACAGATGATGTTTAACCATAATACGACTATCCAGATCCAACAATTGTAAGAATAACGTGGTTAAAAATGCTTTGAATTTTGTTAAAGTTATATTTTATTCATTGTTCAAACACTCATGCAATACACTCTCAACACATTTTCTTTTAGCATCAATATATTTACACATTCTGATTTGAACACACCAAAGCCAGAAGGAAAACTGGATTCTAGCCATGAAATGAAACCTGCCAGAAGTGATGAAAACAAAATACAGCGTGTGCTGGCTCTTATAGACATTTTAAGAGAGAGCACTGAGGTACTATCAAAGTCTCAACACAAAACATTTCAATCAGCCGAGGATCTCCATTAAACCTGATCATAAAATCTAAGGATAACGCATATCGAAAATGGTTCAGATGAAAGTTTGTTGATGCCTCTCATTGTCGAGTTTGATGATTTTATCTAGCAGGAAGTGAACAGACTCAGCAGATGCAGGATAAACAGCAGTGTAGCAGTTCTCTCGATAATGTGCATCATCAACAGTAAATGTGTCTGAGTTGTTTTTGTGTCTCCTGGATGGCTCACCGACCTGGACGGTGTGCCTATTTCTGTCCACTCAGACTTACGTAATTTAACGAAAAACCGTTGCTCTGTACAGTGAGGTACAGTGTGTGCGGGGGTGTTTAGAGCACTGCATTGATTTCTGCAGAACAAAGAGAAGAGCAAGAATCTAAACTCAGAGGAGACGGTTACTCAACCAAGACCTGAAGATTTTATATAATATAGAAATATAATACATATATATAGTTCACTGTTTTCTCTGACGTAACATCTGCTACATGTATGAACTGAGATGAGCCCTTGTAGATGATAACGGCCATTTGTTAAAACACTCCGATCATCATTTCCCTGACCATTCCCAATCCATTAGCAAAACTGTTCGGTAAACTGTGCTCCAAATGTTAATTATCATTTAAAGTGTATGCTATAATTGGAATATTTTCACATCAGCACCTTGCTGTCAGACGGCCAATTCTGACGGAAACTGAAGCTGTTATCTACAATTTAGGAAAATCCACCAGAATCCATTGAGAAGAACGGTCATTTTACCTTGCAGTTGCTGGTCTACAGTTGCCTCAATCACTTAGTTACATTGTGTTATTGTGTGACTTTTGTGTTTTAAGGGGATTAGATAGTACTCAACAAAGTCAACCAATAGTGTAGTTAGGGTTAGGGTTAGGGTAAGACGGTAACTGCACTTAAAACAATCTGAACCATCCCTCTAAAGGCCAATTTAAAAATCATTTTCTACTGCTTATACATGTTTTTATTGTAAGTTGCTATGGATGAAAGCATCAGCAAAAGGAAATGTAATAATCCTGTTAGAGGTTTTAATATGTGTACTGCAAGTGTTCCTCAGGGTACCGAAACTACCATAATGGCAGAGAGAATGGAAACCTGTGATTGAATTTGGATAATAACTGTAAATGCTCTCTTACAGCATAGACCTGAAACCTGAACGCGTCCGACCTTAAGGAGATTTCAATCGGAAAACCTTTCTCAAAATGTATCTCATTCATCTTTACGTCACATAATCTACACAGCTGAATGCTGCAATATCGGGCTCTTTCTTACAAACACATGATAAATGAGGATTCCCATTAAGGCGGAGGTGAATGCATTAGAGATGGCGGGGTGTTTTCCAGAGGTGAAATGAGCCTCCTCTTTGTTTCAGTCCTCAGGCCAAAGGGAAAGTCTTAGATCTCCTAATACATCACATGAACGTAACACACCATACAAGGTTCATATTTAAAACTAAAGTGTAAAAAGAGGTACAAAATGCATAAAAAGCATCTTGTTTTTTTTGAATAGCCATTAAACTAATACTAGGGCTGAAATAATACTTGGGTTGTGGTGTTGAAACATAAATGCAGGGACACTCAAGCAAGGTGGCTAATCCGGCTATTTTGAAGCATAGCCATTACCCGCCCTGCTGCCAGTGATTGGGTAGAACCGTGATCTAGCAGCAATCAAAACATTAATAACTTACAATAGAGTGGTGCAGGAATGAGTCCTTAACCCTAAAATGAATCAGCCTTTTACCACTTCTTGTTCACTGGTCTTGAAGTCAATCTTTTTTTTGTGTGTTTTGCTTAGAAGTCTGAAATAATGTCTCTACTCACCGTGCTGTAGTTCCTTTATAACGTTAGGTTTTTTTTGTCATGAGCAACGTTTTTCACTTAAAAAACACCATTTGATTCTTTGTCAATATAACATAGATATTGGTGTTGTTAGGGATTAATTCTGTCTTACTCCTAGGAGTTTAACCTTTTCTGTGTGTTGACGTTTACGACCATTCTTTCTTAAGGAATTGAAGGCCTCAGCTATTGTGGACATTACCAGTTCTTATGGCCGGGCCTATCGGTCACAGAGGGTTTTATGACTGTGAGAACGCTGGCTTCTAAGCACCACAGACAAGTGATTCAGTATTTCCAGATGTTGGGGATATCTCCAGTGTTCCCAGGTGTTTACGCACCATCCCCCAATATCTGGATTAACTCTCTGTAAACTAGTTAAAAGGTCTATCGAGAGAGAGGCTGGTAAGAATTGATGTGGCAACTCTCCGGGCAGTCAGAACCTCTGGCTGCTGTGGCTTGTGATGTAAATTTCTCCGGCCGTCAAACACTGGTGTAATAAACACCAGTGTTTGACATCAAAGCTCCAACTCTCCTCGTGTCTCTCTGAGTCCTGACTCTCCATTGCTGCAGAAGTTTCCCTTACAGGTGTGGCTTCAACTCTAAAACAATGTCCTTCTCTAAGGCCTTAAATGCATGGTGAACCTTTAGAATACAAGTTAAACTCTTCATTCGGCTACACACCTCTGAGACTCCTCCCTCACACTGGTAAGCAAAGGGTCACTTTCTGTCAGTTTTATAATCATAAATAAAACAGACTTTTAAAGGTCAGATCCTCTGTTTATCGCCTCTACACCCCACATATCACCCCCTCAGCTCCCAGAGCAGTAAATCACATGAACTTGACATGATCTTCCACAAATATTCAATCAACTGCACACCATCTCTAAGGGGGGCAGGATGCCATCAATCATATACATCTCACATAACTAGAGAGATTGTTAATTGCTTGCAAATGTTTAGAAAGCTGTGGACATGTGAGTGACGGTGAAGCCATAGAGCGGAGGTCAAACATCGTACCTAATGCAACTCTGGCAGCCGAGGCATCGTAATTTATCCAGAAGGACACCCAGGACAGGATGGTGATGAGGATGGAGGGCATGTAGGTCTGCAGGATGAAGTACCCAATGTTTCTCTTCAGCTTGAAGCTCAGAGACAGTCGAGGGTAGGCACCTGCAGGTAAACATGGAGGAGAAGAAGAAGAAGAAGAAAAATGGAATCCCTCGTTAATTCAAGAACTGGTTTCATCACTTTGAAAACAAGACAAGGGGAGTTCAACTTGCAAATTAACTGATGAAATGTTGCCTTGAGATTATCTGTGTAACACAATGCAATTTCTGTTAATGCACACGCACGCACGCACGCACGCACGCACACACGCACGCACG